TGAAATCATCTTCTGTTTTATTTATGAGTTTTAAAATACTTTCTCTAGTTAATTTGTTCTTTTCCCTCTTCTTGTCACCCATAAGGGTATTTTTATAATAATCCGTTAGGGTATTAATCCAACACACGTTGTCCTGATAGTGCTCCACTTTAATGGCTTCCCTTAGTGTCTCGTACTCTGGATTCAAAGGGGTCTGAATATAATTATGATACATGCTCACATTAGTGGCATCCCTTAGGTTTTCACGATTTGGATTAAAATCTGAATCACCATCTACCCTATCAACTTCATATACTTTAATACAATCTATATAATCTATCACGAAGCCGATGACTCCCAATATGGACGGGTCTCTTTGTAAGTCCAATAGTAATTTTATGAAAAGCATCTTGTCGTACTTCCCAAACACTTTTCTACCAACAAGGTTTTCAACATTCGATGTGGTGTTAACGCTTGCTGTGTGCCTTATACTTTCTCCTATAAACAATGGTACTAAGGGCTTACCTGCTTTGTCATAAAATGCTGTTTTCTGTGTGTTGGTGTCCGATTTGTATCTAAAAAACGCCACTGTCATTGAATAGTCATGCTTTTTTCTAGGATTGGTTCTTCCAGTTCTCTTGTTCTCTTGTTTTGTTTCTTCCATTCTTTCACCCAGTCTGGGTTTATCCTTATGTTTGTCATAAATCTTGTTGTATTCTTTTTCTGCCCTTTCTTTGTCCTTTGGTGTCTTGGATGTGATAAATTTTCTTATTAAATTGTCGGCTGTTGTAAACTGAGCTATCTTGCGTTCAGAATATAAGTCTATGATGTTTCTGACTTTTTCCTTGGTTGCTTTGTTAAAGCGTTTTTTGTAATTGTCGTACACTGCTTCTAAAGCAGTGATATTTCTCTGTATAGCTTTGGTCATAAATTACAATATATATTAATTTTATAATAAAAATATTTCTTTAAATGTATTTTTCTGAAGACTTTTTTTAGACTGATTGAAAATCAAATAAGATTATAGTGTTAAGAAAAAGCACTTAAAGAAATATTATTTATATATATATTAATAGTGAAATGACAAAACCTGAAGATATGACAATAGACGAAATCCGTGAACAACTGGCATTGTACAATAGGCTGTATTATAATAAAAGGCGTGAAGACAAAGAGTATGTTGAGAAAAAAAGGGCTTCCAGAGATAGGTATCTGGAGAAGAAGAAGATGGAGAAATACATAGCCGAAAACGGTATAGATATAACAGTCGTGAAGTTGACACCAGAACAGAAGGCAGAAGCACTAGCAAGTAAAAAGAAAGGAACTAAATACACCATGAAAAACTGCAAGGTGATAACAGTGACTCCTGAGGAAGAGCCAGAAGAAGAGAAATAATAATTTTTGTAAAAATATTGTTATTTTTCTTACTTATTTATATGAGCGAGAAGCAGAAAATAATTAATGATGTTTATTTTGATAGAAGCGGGTTCGGCTCTAAGGCTACCACGTTGAAAGATGCAAGGGCCAAAGATAAAACGATTACAATGGCTGATGTAGAGGAATTTTTCAAGAAAAATGTAGAAGAGAAAAGGAAACCAAGAGGTCAAAATAGTTTTGTAGCACCGCATCCGTATTTTGAGTTTCAACTTGATTTGTTTTTCATATCTAGCAACGACTTAGAAAACCAAGAGTTTAGAATAGGTTTAGTGCTTATTGACATATTCACTAAATATGCAACTGTTATACCAATTAAGAGCAAACAGCCACCAGATGTTTTAGCAGGTCTCATGGAAGGATTAAACAAAATGGATAAGAAACCACGCATGTTATATTCAGATGAGGAAGGCAGTTTATACAGTAAACCCATAATAGAGTATCTGGAGGACGAAAAAATCGAGATTCATAGAACTCGTGGACACCCAGCGTTTGCAGAACGCTTCATTAAAACCTACAAAGATAAGTTATTCAAGCGTGTTGAAGCAGATAAGAAGAAAGGTAAAGAAAATATTCAATGGACTGATTATAACTTTGAAATACTGTTGACATATAATAATAAAGATATACATTCATCCCATAATCTGACTCCAAGGGATGCACGTTTACCAAAAAATGAGTTGAAAGTAAAACTGATTTTAAGCATGAACGCAAAGCGTAGCAGAACATACCCTGAGATAGACGAAGGCGACAACGTCAAGATAATGAGAAAGAAAGGTATAAGCGAGAAAGAACATACATCACACTGGAATAAAACAATCCATAAAGTCACTAAGACTGAGAAGAAATTAGGACAAAAATATTATCATTTGGACGATGAGAATAGGTCATACTTGCGACATGAGTTATTAAAGGTTTCTTAAGAAAACACACTTAAAGAAATAACAACTTAGTATATTAACATAAAAATACTAAGCAAATACTATGAAAATATTCGGGTTGTTTGTGTTTTGTATCTTTTCATACCCCTAAATCTTCAGTACCCTACTTTTCGTATTTTGTTTTTTGACTGTTTTCTTGCTTTCTAAAACTTTTGAGCCGGACAAAACCCTAAAAGCCCCAACTGAACACGAAAGCCTTCGCGTAGCATACGCGAACCCTAAGAGTAAACCCTAAACCCTATCAACGAACCTTCCTGAAATTGTTGTAGCCAGTGATGTTGATGAAGTCGTGCGCCTGGCGGAGTGGTAAGTCGCGGTTATACTGCCGGAGTTAGGGTTTAGGGGTTGCAAAGTCAACAGGCACTCTTCGGACCTCTGATTTTTGCACTGTCCGCTGGCTCGTTCTGCATGTGCTGGTCTCTGACACTTCGCCCTGTGCGACGCGAAAAGGGCGCACCCGTGATTTTGAAGAAATTCCATTCTGTAATTCTGATTTTTGAAGGTCAGAATCCCAGTTTTGAGGATTAGAATTAGAATCCTAATTTGAGAGTCAGAACCCTATTTGAGAGGGTGGTGGACCCTACTTTCGAGGGCGGGCACTTGTATGCTGCGGGGCAATACGGGTGCTTCTGTGCAACTACAGCTCAACTGTGAAACACTTTAGAATCGGCAGAGATCGTGACAGGGACATCCTGCATTCATGTTTAAAACTATTTGCGAGGCCTGTGAGCACTTCAATCTGGGCCCAGCACGCACTCCGCCAATGAGTGATACCTCATACATGAGGCATGTGCACCTTGAAGGTGGATTCTGCATACTATATACAAGTGTTGAGCGTGTTGGGCGCAAACAAGAGGGAATAACTGCGCAATGTGCTTCAGATAGGTTGTCGCATCATTGCGACATGTGCCTTTGTCAAGTCCAAGCGCTCCACAGCGTAGCCATTCTGCTTGGCATAAAACTCACCCACGTCGTGGAACAATTGCGCATAGTCTGGCCAGCCCGTGTGTCCAGACAAGTCCACAATGACCAGACCTCCTAGTGGCTGATGGAGGCCAGAACTCGCAGCACCATACAGCAGCATCTCGGGTATTGTTGGGAACTGCTGTAGTGTCTGAAGCTTCTTATGACGCAAGAAGGCTTGCCACCGGGAAGGATTTGAAACTAGATAGGCATTCACCCTGCTCATGATGGGCCTACCCGACGAGTTCCAGAGCTTCGCGGCTCGCTGCAAGTTCTGGCTGCGCGCGTATGTGGCAAAGTCCTGGAAGACCAGTTCAAGCCAGAATCGAGAGCTCACGTTGATATACTTGAGCTTTGTAATGTCGATCTCCATCTGCATCTTATTTTTGACTGCGTCTATTTCAACTTTAAGCTGAAATTTAGCCTCCGCCTCCTTCAACGCCATCGCCTTTTCCGCCTCCTTCTCCTTCAACGCCATCGCCTTTTCCGCCTCCTTCTCCTTCAACGCCATCGCCTTTTCCATCTCCTTCAACGCCACAGCCTTTTCCATGTCCGCCTCCTTCAACGCCACAGCCTTTTCCATCTCCGCCTCCTTCAACGCCACAGCCACCCTTGTTGCAGCATCCCTGTGCTCAACAAGGCGTTTCGATTTTTTGATGAGCCGTCCCGTCTTGAGCACCTTGCGACGCCTTGACATGGGCGCCATGGCAGCACGACTGGCAATGGTGGGTAATGAAGCGTGGAACTCTCAGAATGCAGTATAGACACACACACACACGATCCTCTTGCAGGCATCAAAATGAACTGCAAATGTCTCGCATTGTGAAAAATGTGCTACGGGGTTGAACGCATGCAACTCGCCGGGCGCACCTACTTGGGCCTACCCTGATTAAGTTGCGCGGAACACCTGCAGAGGACTGGTGATTTACATAAACGCGCAGGGCTGACCTTCGCATCTCGATGCTCTTGTCGTAGTCGGCCAGCACAGAAAACCAAACACATCGATGAATCCACTCCCTGACCCATAAAGTATTTGGGTATATATCGGGCTAAGATTCGGCTTCGCTGGTGGACTAAAGCATCAAGGGTAGCGGGTGGAGCATCAGGGTTGTGAGCTGGAGCGTCAGGCGTAGTGGGTTTGATCTCGTCAACGGTGGAGTGCCACCAAGAAGTGGCTAACCGAAGCCACCCCCAACACCCCATACTATTCCCCATAAATTGAATCAACCTAACCTTGCCCAGTTTCGGATGTTACATCACCTGATAAATAGGATGAGATAGAGTATTTTAGGGATAATGAGCTACTAGTTGTGAATTATATGTTCACGGTGATGTAATACCCCAAACTGGGCGACCCCATTACCTTGTCCATTTTGGATAATTGCACCTTATTTTCTATATGGTAAAGTGTTTTAGGATATTATGGCTATGATCTGGGCCACGGTGGTGCAATTACCCAAAATGGGCAAGGCCTTCCCTGACTCCCACCCCCCCCCCCCCCCCCCCCCCCCCCCCCCACCCCCCCCCCCAGCCCTTCCTCCCCTTTTTTTGCAGAAACCCCTCCTTTCCTGTCCTAAGCGTTTACAATCATATTATATTCTATATTGTTATATTATCTTATATTATATTATGCTAAACACTAAACCCTAAACCCTAATCAGGTGCTGGATCGTACAGGGGCGCCTTCACGGCCTTCACCAGCTTCACCTCGGAAGCACAGCGGGTTGTTCTTGCCACCCGCCTTGCCCTGAGGGTTTAGGGTTTAGGGTTTAGGGTTTAGGGTTTAGGGTTTAGGGTTTAGGGTTTAGGGTTTAGGGATCCCTGACAGGCGTGCTGTCGGAGGAGAACTCATTTGCAAACACGCCTAACCCAACTTCAAAATCGTAAAACGTAGGAAAATGGCTGGATGTTGTATGTGCTCCAGGGTCCGCAAGGTGGTTTTCGGTTTAGGGGCGCCATGGTGTTGCTGAGGCGAGGACGACTCGCGCCAAGCGAAACACACCTTGGTGGAGCATCCGAGGTCTCTTTCACACCCCACCCCAACGAAGAGATGGGAAGGCCCTGGTGCCTCAGCGTGCCAACTCAGATTATTGCAGGGTGTGGGTGCATTTTAGTTTCTGCTTCAACCAAATCAGCCGTGCTGTCATAGCGCTTTTTCTCGAAAGCTCTGCCTGGCTTTGTGAACGCACCCCTATGCACAGGCTTCTCCGAGCGCACTTAGGGCATCTAAATCCCAGATCCTGCAACCTGCTTGCATCCCCGGTGGTAGGATGAACTACCAAGCTGAAAATATGACCCCTAAAGTTCCACTTAACACGAAGGGCCTTCAACACTGAAATCCCATACCGAAGATCCTATCTAAATCCTGGGCAGCTCTGTTCTCCCCATGTGAAGCTGAGGCAAGCACGAATGATACGAAGGAACCTCGGCTTCAAGCTTTTCCCCACCAGCTTGTCAGGTCTTTTTGCTCCCTTGGGTGTCTTGGGAGTTGTTTCAGTTAGTTTGCCACGCGCCTATAACTGAGCAAGCAATTCAACCACTCGAACACCTCAAAGGCCCACAGAGTCATCACCAGCCAAACCCCCCAAGAAAAAGCTTCACGCTGTGAACCGCATCTGCCGCCGTGACCCATTGTGCTGGTGGGTAAATCACCAATCCACTTTCCCGGCACCACACACAACACTACCGATTGATTCGGAGGACACTCTGAGAAGAAGCTTGGGGTTTACAGGGTTTAGGGTTTAGGCCATCCAGCTCCTGGAGATGTTTTTGGTTCAGGCAGCCAAAGATCCCAAAAAGCCTTGAGCCTGCAAAATAATCTGCACGCCCACACTGTTGTGCGGCGAGGAAGCGATAGCTTGGCCCCCACTGGAAATAGAAGGCCAACAACGGACTCGACCACGAGAAAGCCATCGAAAAGGTTCCATGCCTGCAGCATCTATATTCCCGCATATAATGTGTGGGTTTTGCCTACGCAAGACCCGCATTCTAGGCACATTCCCCAGAGGGTCCATTTGTAATGCTATTATGGCTTTAGGTATCCCAAAACCCTATTTAGTATGGTGTTTTGGTACCTAATTCCATAATTGTAGTACACATGGACCCTCTGGGTTCGGGTGGTCTTTAGATCTTGTGCTTTGCTGCCCGGAGCTTCCCGCCGCCTGCTCCTCGCCCGTGAAGAAGCTGATTTTCTCGGCCAGAAGCCGCAGGAGGATCTCTATGGAGAACCTGAAATGAAACGGGGTTATTTAGGGCTCAGGGCTTAGGGTTAGGGTTTAGGGTTTAGGGTTTAGGGTTTAGGGTTAAGGTTTAGGGTTTAGGGTTTAGGGTTTAGGGTTTAGGGTTTAGGGTTTAAGGACCCCCTGGTACTCAAAGCTTCCGAATGACGGCCAAACAGGCGCAGAAAACATGACTCTCGACGCGACTCTATGCCACACCATGCCAAGCTGCCATACAGCAAAGGTTATATCCCAAGCGGTATCCTCGGCTTCTCTCTGGCGACCATCTATGGGACCGAAGGCGTTCCTCGGCAATCGGCGAACAACACCCCCAAAGGTCTCCATGTCGGAATACTTGCTCCTACCAGACCCCGTGTGAACAAGCAAACGCACTGCACGGACACAGAGGCACAAACATATATGAATACACCCACGCACACACACTCCATGCACGCACCCACGCACACACGCAACCCAAATCGGACCCTAGTTCATGAGTGCAATCCTCCCATGCTCCACTCTCCGGCCTGATTTTCCAGTCGGCATTGACGCCCAAGTACATCGTGTTTGCGATGATGGCGACCATGCACACTGCCTGGACACAACCCATGGGCCCAAGAAGCTGCCACAAACCCTTGTTTGCAAGAGGCCTCTTCATGCCGCCAAGACTGCTCACTCATTATTGCTAGATAGTTAGGATCAAATCCTGAACCGGTAACACTTCCACCCGAGCATCTGAACGAGCAGTTGCCCTGAATTCTGTCCCTTGGGGGGGATCCTCCTAGAGCCTGGGATTTGGGTATCACCAAAGACCATGATTCAGACAATCTCCGACAGGGCTTCGCAGCTTTCCATTCTTTCAAGCGGTCGAGTACCTGTCCAACCATATTGGCTCACATGGTTCGTCAGCAAGTGTGCCACTTCTGGGTAGCGACAGGCAAGATCAATGGCGGTTTCGCCATCGCCGTTTGTGTTGACCTGTGAGCCTTTGCTCAGAAGCAGCTCGACGATGTCTCGGTGCCCGTGCATGGCAGCGACCATCAAGGCTGTGTAGCCGAAGCGGCCGCGGCCGTTCGGGTTCGCTGATTTGTCGAGAAGAAGCTGAACAAGCTCCTCGTTCCCAAAACGGGCGGCCAATCGTAAAGGCGTGAGGTCTCCCTCGACTGCCTGCTCCACATCGGCCCTGGCATTCAGCAGCCATGTTACGGCCTCAATGGGGCCACTTCGAAGTGCAACTTGCATTGCCTTCCGTTCTCGGTGGACGGGGCAGCCGCAGCACCATAGCACCAGGAGGCCATCTTGCCAGCACGGCCATGGCAAGTGCTGAGAGGACGCGGCCAAAACAGCCTCTGCCGTGGAGTTGCCTGCTGCTGAGGCCACCATCGCCAGAAGCGGCATGCGAACGCCTCCGGACTTCAGGAAGTTGAGTGCAACACCCCGCAGCTCGACGAAGGTGCGCGCTGCTGCCTGCACCACCTGCACTTCTGATGGCCAGAGGAAGCTGGTGATCGCTGGGGCCAGGCTGTGTAGTGCAACCAACATTGCGCACTGCGCACGCGGCCGGAGGCCGTTCCGGAGCTAAGTTGAAAAGAAGCTGCTAAAAACGAAAACATCTCTTGGCAGAACGTAAGTTCAAAAACATATAACCGTGCGAAGCCAGTGCGATCTCGTGAGAATGATGACAATGCGCGGACGGATGCGTGGTTGTGCCTCCGAGCCACCCACTCAGAATTGCCCATAATACTCCCAGAACCATAAGTATAGGACCCAGTCACTATATAGGATGCCCATTTAATTTTAGGGCTGAAGAAGATCACCCGGAACTACTTCTTGGATGCTTCAGGCGGCCCGTCTCGAAATCCTGCACAAAGGAACGAAGCCTGAAGTCCAAAAGTCTTCCAATCCCTTTCGCTCTCTCTCTCTCTCTATTTGTTTTTCTTTCTTGGGGCTTGGGGGACTCTCTCTCTCTCTCTCTCTCTCCCCCACGCATGACCCCCCCGAAGGGAGGCCGCCCCCAGGGGCGCGTGCTGGTCTCAGGTCTGTTGTACTCTCTCTCTCTCTCTCTCTCTCTAAGTCTGTCCCTCCTTCCAAACCTCAAGACTGCACCCTGAACATCTTGTGCTGGGACATCGCACCTTGGTTGTGATCAGGTGTGGCTACGAGACGGGCATGTGAACGAGAAGCAACCAAAAGTGACCTTTCATGTGTTGTGTGCGCTCTTGCGAACGCTTGGCAACATGGAGGGAAGGCTGTCTACGCCTTGGCTCTGACTTCCCTCTTTCATTTAAGCTCCGGCCATTGCGTCATCGCAGCTGGCATACTCCAAAGGTGGCCAAGTCTGCAGAGTGCTCAGAGCAGTGCCGGAACTGCCATGCTGCAGGCCTCACACTTTGAGCTCCTGTAAGCTTGCACCTTTGGCCAGAGCCCACAAGCTGTGGTCCGATCGTAACTTCGAACCAACCCAACCAAGCCTACACCCTCTTTTGCATCTGGACTGGGGATCCTGATACAGCCATTTTGCAACCATGCTTCAGGCTTCAAAGCCCTGAAAACCCCTCAAGATCTCGAGAGCACTATTTTGCTCTGGCTCGCCAGGCCTTGAAGGAGAAGCTGCCGACAAGCCTCTCGATTGGCGAGGCAGGGCGCTCCTCCGTGGGCCAAGGTTTGAGATTCAGGGCATATATATATATATATACATATTATATATATATATATATATATATATATATTATAAATATATATGATTCAGGGTCGCAAGGGTTCAGGGTTATAGCGGTCATAGGAGACCTGGGTTTCGAGCTTGTTTTGCCTCGTGGCCTGGCCGCCCTTTTGTTCTCTGTGATCAGGACTTTCTATGGGGCTGTAGGAGGGATGTTGATGCCCTTTGTTTTGTTGCACCAGGCAAGGCAAACCCTCCAAACCTCCAAGGCTCGGGCTCGCTTCTCAGGGATGCGGCTTGGGATGGCTTGGGAGCTCGATGCTCGCGCTTTTAGGTTTGGTAAAGGCTAGGGCTTGGGGCCTCAGCTGTGTGGAGCCCACAGACGAGATTCTCTGTGGCTCATGCCAGATCGAAGGTGGCAGACACCGGTAGGCTCTCAGCGCTACCTGAAACCTAACTTAGATTCTGAACCCCTGGTAATCGCATGAGAGCTGCGGTGTAGGGTTTAGTTTTTCATGGTGTGGCCACGGGCCTTGGCTGCTTTGGGCGAGGACGCCAGGTCGGTCCAGGCGGACCTCCAGACGCTGTGTAAAAAGCAGCACAGCTCGTGGTCTAGGATTCTTACGGGTTCCGGCCCCCGCCGACACCCTTTTTAAACCCCTTTTCTGAACCCAGGCTCTTTATGTCAGCTGGCACCAGACCCTGTCTTGGGGAGCCCATCGTTTTGTGGGATCTCCTGTTTTGCATGTCGGAGTTTCAGGGGTGAAGACGACCGCAAGCAGAGGGTAGTAGCAAAGGAGACGTGGATCAGACCGAAGCCTTCCCTCTTACCTTGGGGGCTATAGGAGTGCTAAAAGGGTTTATATGGTTAATAGGAAATCGTAGTCAGGGTATATGACCCCAATTTTATATAGGGTTCATTTGGTCCACAAAGTAGCTTTAGGTCTTCTTCCCCACGCTGCAGGTGTCCATAGCTGCAGCCCGAGTGCCACTTGATGCCAGAGTCTTTGCCTCAGACGGTCTGCAAGACTTTGGCACGATGCACTGAAGCTGCTGAAACATGACGACCATGTTCAGAAGTTCACCCAAGGGTCATCACGACACGGTGGGTAGTTTTCTAAATTACGTTCCCTTTTTCGGTCCCTGTGCAGTGCGGCACCTCATAAAATGGACCCTCAAAGGAAACCTTCTTTCAAAAACTACCCCTGTATCCAGGTCCGGGGTCGCTGCACCAAGGATTCTCCCTCAGTGGGCCAGGCGCGCGTGGCACGGGAACTTGACTTTCGGGTTTAGGGTTTAGGGTTTATACCCAGAGCACAGCGGGGTTCTACAGTCAACTGGAGAACTTCCCTTGGCGATACACCCTGATGGGATCGCCTATACCTTGGGGACTACATGAACCCTAAAAGGGTTTATGGTTTGTACGCCTTAATAGGAATTATATATAGTAGTCAGGGTATGTGACCCCAGTTTTAGGGTTCATTTGGTCCCCAAGGTAGGCGTTCAGACTAGGACGATGGGCTATTGGCAGTGTCCTACCCAAAACCACACTTTGCACCCCCCAAAACATTTTGACATACGTAGAAACATCGATTCCCAAAGCCCGTGCGGTTCTGGGGCGGCACGAGCTAAGGTTAGGGTTTAGGGTTCGCTGTTGACACTCTGAGGCCGTTGCCAGACTCGCCGGCTCGGAAGCTGTCTGGGCGTCCGGGCTTGAGCATTGTCATCTTTTCGGCTGCCAGGCAGTTGCTTTCCTGGTATAGAAACAAATACATCCACATTCATATGAACATTTATATGTATATATATATATATGTATATACATACATGTAATGATATGTGACAAGTGGGCCAGCAACTTAAGCCATTTTGATGGGTCTTGTTGCCAAGCTGCTGAGAAGGACTTCTGGCGGGCGTCGCTCAACGAGGTCTTGTGACGCATGGACATGGACATGCCCCGTCCTCGCTGCTAAGAGACGCATGTGAGTCCAGCCGATGACCCCGGATGCTCCAAGAGCAAACTCCAAGCAGACCAGGTAATTCAAGGCATGGCAAGACCGCACACCTTTTGCCACGGAAGCCTGGCGCTTCAGCAGGGGTCAAATCGAGTCGAGGCTACTGTCCGCACGGGGATGCGGCTTCATCTTGCTGGCAGCACAAGTTTGCGCATGTGGGCCCGGGGCGCGGTCCATTGCCTGATTACGAGTGTGGCGTTGAGAGCCTACTAGCCGCCTTCGAAGACGCCAGTCAGCGCAGCCTCGTCGCCCACACAGCGCTCCTTCAAACGATCTCCATCGTAGTACCAAATGGTGACTGCGACCCTGTCCGCAAAAGCAGGGAGGACTTCGTGGGGGTTTTGGTCCTGACAGAAGAAAGCCACCAGCCGACCATGCAACGGCTCGACATCTTTGCCAGATTTCCCCTCGTCAGCTAGCTGCTTCAAAATCCTGAGGCAGCCTCCATGATCCTCTCGCCAGAAGGGGTTCAAGTACCTTAGTTGTGTACACTTTCAGTTCTATAGGGGTTATAGTATCCCCAAAAGTGTAAAGTAAAGTGTACTCACTCAGCTACTAAGGTGCAGAACGAGCGTTAGCACTCGCCCATTTGCACCCCTGCCGCCGGCTGTGGAGTCCAAATGCCGGCCATAGGCCGACCCATTCCCGGGGTAAACGGCCATCATGGGGTGACCCTGGAGTAGGTTGGTTCCTAGGATGGCCCTTATAAACCCCTCTGAAAAATATTCCTCTAAATAGGATCCTTTTAAGCCCAACACAAGGAAAAACAAACTATATAACAAAATCTCCCAAAGGCCTGCCGAGGTTCGCTGGAGCTCTGTGAGGTTCGGGCCTCCCTCGCAGGATCCGACCATCAGCTTGGCTAGGAGCTGGTTGCAGCGGCGGGTGAGCTCCCTCAAGCAAGGGGCATCCAGGTGCTCCGAGTCACAGAATGTGTACTCGTCGTTCTTCATGGGGTTCTTCTCTCCATCCTCGAGGGCTCTGATGGGGCCCTCATGGGAGTTCTTGCCCGTCTTCAGCTTCCCAGAAGCTCTCTGCTGAAGCACGTAGGACCTCAGCTCGTCTGCCTCTGGGCCTGGCAAGAAGCCGTCGATCACCCCCCAACCCTGGGAAGTGAGCTGCTCCACGAAATTTGCGAAGCCAGGATGTGGATTTTGGCTCGGTGAAGCCGGCACCGCGTCGCGCTGGAACTGAATTGTCAGAGTGCGCTTCTTCTTGGACCACTTGGAGAGAGGAGCTCCGGACGCGCCGGCCGGAAGAGGCAGGCACAGAATGGACACCCCGGCGCGCAGGAGACGGACGAGTGCGTCTGACAGCTCCAGCGCCGGGCACTCGGCCGGATCGCTCTGAAACAGCACTTTCAGCTCCCATAGCTCAGGCCGGAGGCTCCATTCGTGCTGCACATCGGGGCAAGTGATCTCCGCAAGGCCCGCATCTTCGTCAGTTTGCGGCGGCGGAGGCTGCAAAAGCTGCGAGGGCTGTGGCTGAGGCGTCTCTTGGTAGCCCTGCTGCTCGTCTGGGCCCTTCTTCGTGTTGTCCAGCAGCCAGAGCGTGACAGAGTAGCGCAGCTTCTCCGACGGCCGAACCTCATGAGGAGTCCGCCAGTCGGACCAAAAGAGGAGGACACGGTTGGCAACCGGAGCGACGACTCTGCGAACCGCGTTCTCATCTTCAGCTCTGAAGATCGCAAGCTCGCCTCCATCGCCATCCTCCCACCCATCATTCAAATAGATCAATGCAGTTAGAAGCCTTGTCTTGCAAAGGGCATGCTTGCCATCGTTATCCACGTGCTTGACGTAGCGTGCTCCGCCTCCAGGGTAGCAGGCCACCATGGCCTTTGAGCGGGATGTGATCTTCGACAGCTCGGGGACAGTCGCTTGCAGTTCGGATACCAGGGTACCTAGCTTCAGAAGGTAGCCCTCCAAGCCTCTGCCGTGTGGCCACTCCTCCTGGCCACTATCAAACCACCCAATGACGTCGCCCCGCGTCTTGCGGTCGGCGTACTTGGCATCGTCGGCCGACGGCAGCTTCCCGTTCACCAACCCCCCGGCCTCCAAACGCCCAGCCTTTACTGAACTTGGAACCCATAGCAAAAATCATGATTTCAGCTGTTTTCTTAGGAAGGAGAGCACCCAAAAAATAAAGATTAGTTCCAAGTATTCCTAAGCAGCCTTGTGGCATGTGGCCACCTCCCTCCGAAGCTCCTGGGCCTGGGTGTCGGTGAGGAAGTTGTCCAACACGCAGTAGCCTTGGCTGTTCAAGTGTTTGCCTATGGCCGCCAGGGAGTCGTCCATGATCCACCACCACTCCTTGGGGACCAAATGAACCCCAAAACTGGGGTCATATACCCTGACTGCTGTAATTCCTCGTAAGGTCTAGGAACCATAAACCCTTTTAGGGTTCACTTCGTCCCCAAGGCTCCTCTTTGCCAAACATGGAATAGTAGAGTCGGAGCTTTCCACACTCGCAGGCGAACCTGGCATCCGCCGCCTCATCTTCCGGGGCCCCTTGCTGCCGAGTCATCGATCCATGGCTTTGCTTCCGGGTGCTCTTCCGTCCGGGGTTTAGGGTTTAGGGTTTAGGATTTAGGGTTTAGGGTTTAGGGTTTAGGGTTTGGGGTTTAGGGTGCCGCTTGTGGGCACACGTCAGGCTCGCGTCATGCCGAGCCTCAAAGTTCAGCTGCGGCAAAGCCTTCATATGCCATACCAGGATGGGCCAAGATTGTGCCCTTTTAGCCCTTAAAAGGGCCCTGTTTTGGGTTGGTTGTGGGGATTTTAAGGCCTCATAGCACATCCTGGTAGAACTGGCAGCTGACTTGTCAATCTTCTTAGGCCGCCTAGCCTGGCGGGCTTGGCCTTGGCCGGACCTGAGCTGCAGGGCAAACATAACATAGGGTTTGGGGTTTGGGGTTTTTTGCCACCCGCCTAGCCGACCCCCTCTGGGATTGGGGTTTGGGGTTTGGGGTTTGGGGTTTGGGGTTTAGGGTTCACATGTGTCACATCCCAACCTTGACCTGCAGCAGTCTTCTAGACATGGCGGATGCACGGTTGGCGCAGCTTTTGACCCTGAACCCTAAACCCTATAACCTGTAACCCTAAACCCTAAACCCTAAACCCTAAACCCTAAACCCTAAACCCTAAACCCTAAACCCTAAACCCTAAATCCTATCCGGTGTGGGACCCCGGCCAAAGAGACGTCTGCGTCCGCAAAGCCACCGGAAGCCGACGGGCTGAGGTCCAAATCCTCTCCCAGAGGTGCAATGCCTTCCCCCTACGAGTCGGGTTTAGGGTTTAGGGTTTAGGGCTTAGGGTTTAGGGTTTAGGGTTTAGGCGTTGGAAACCTTTTTAAGGACAAGTAGTGCTGGGATTCCCTATACTTTACTCTTCGGGACTGAGGCTATTGAGATTCCAACCTTTTGGCTTCTACTATAGTCAACCCAACCCTTCCTCCTGTTCTTCAGGATTCCCCATACTCTGTAATATCACTATACTGGAAATATTTAACAAGAGGATGTAGGTTTGTTTTAATTGAGGGGGAGAAGGGATTTGCTAGACAGCCGCTTCGAAAACACATGTGTCGCCCGTGCAACAAAACCTTTCAGCCTACGGGGGAATAGCCTGAAGCCATGGAAATTCAACGTTGTCGCTCTCTTACCAAAACAAGCATCAAGAGCATCACACGGGCGTTCCAAGAGTGGCAACAGCATGTTGTACTGCAACAGTCGAGACAAAACACGTGGCTTCAGCGTTTGGAGGGGGGGGACGGTGTGCATCCAGAGCATTGCTTGTGTGTACTACGGCGAGGGCAAGGTCTTCACAAAGTTTGTGACGGCACAATGTTGCGATTTGTTTCGGTGACCTCTACCGTTTCTAGAGGTGCTACACCATTTCCACCATTTTTTGCAAGCTCGGGCGGGTTTAGGTGTTAGGAGCGCAGGAGTGCAGACTACGTAGACTATCGTCACAATTCTCAACTGTCCGCGCGAAACCCTAAACCCCCCTAAACCCTAAACCCTAAACCCTCAAAGGAAGACTCTCAGAGCCGCTGGTCCTCGACAACCATCCGATCGATGCCATCCTCAGCCGAGACTAAACATCCACCCAGTACCGACGTCCCAATAACAATATTCCTGGTAACACACACACATATATATATATATATGTATATATATATATATACATTAACGTTGGAACAAGTTTTTTCCCAAAATATTGCAGTGATAGAGTATCATGGTGAGCTGATAATACAGTCCTAGGGTCCCCCTAAATATATATATATATATATATACTTTGGCGAGCACTGGCTGACTTGGCTTCTGGCAATGGAGACTTCGGCAATCGCCTTTTTTTCCCAGATGCACACCGCATGCAAGTCTCGGGCAATGGAACGCGCAAAAAGGCGTGTCAAGAAAGAAGCGCACCGCAGTCACAGACGTCAAGTCTGCCATGCTTAGTGCGCCGGACAAATGTCTAACACGTGCTGCCGTAGATGGTTGCCAAGGCATGTGACATCTTGTGACCTTCTAAACCTTACGCCCAACCACCTCCGTCCCAAGTCCCAAATCATGCGCGCAGAGGGCTTAAACAAATTTCAAGTTATATGGGTCCGAATCACCCTATGGGCAAGTAAAGTTTTGATAAAGAAATACATACAAATAACTACAGATATATAAATGTATATACATATATATATATATATGTAGAGTTTGGTCAGCCCTAAAAGCCCTGATCCAGTACCCTCTGCGCCTGGCCTCGCCGGGAAGCGGCATCTCCCTTGCAAGCTTCGATGTTTTTGTTCCGTCCCTGCTTCGGAGGTTGCGGGAGAAAATGTGTAGGGACGTAGGGTTTAGGGATTCTTTTCCGCTCCCACATAGCTGGCCGAACCACAAGGCAGGGTCGTACGGTTTAGGGCTTTAGGGTTTATAGGGTTTGGAAATACGTAAGTTCATCCGAACTCGCATGATCTCGCATGTCCCCAAGTTGCCGCGCAGCTTGATGTGTGGAGTCGGAGGTGGGGTCTACGAGCCCCAAAACAAAGTGACCTTCAGGTAACTGGTGCCTGGAAGCCTCTCGTTTTGCTTGTCTTATGCTTTGTTGCAGCGACAAAAGCCCTCGTAGAGCCCCCCAAGCCTAAGCCGAAGCACCCCGCGTGCTCCCGGCTTGATCATGACCATACATAGCTTTATAAAAATGGTCATAGCTGAAAGTTTCCTGAATGAACAGCAAATCATAAGGAGCAAAAGTGATTGTGTAGAAAACTCACAAATAATGACAAACTGAATGCCTAACAAGAACTAGTAACAGCAATACTACAAACCACAATTAATTAAGGATTATTCGTAGTGATAATTAGTCATGACTCTGAAACGAAATAGTTAAACGACAAAGCAAATGCAGCTTACACTAACCCTGCAGGGTCCCCCGGCTGCTTGATAGATATCAAGGACGACCCAGAGTTGGCCGTCTTGCGAAGCTGCTCAAGGGGCGACCTGCTTTGAACCAGGTGGGCCCTTAAGAGCCTCCGCGAAAAATCCCCGAGCAAGGTTCTCTTTAAGCCTCATGAGGGTGCGTGTCGACATCTTCGAAGTTCCCAATGTCCTACCTACTGGGTCATGGCTTTCTGAAGTTCTGACATGCTTGGGAGCATGAAGACAAACCACTTCTTTTGGAAAGACCCTCCTCCAATCGCAGAAGCATCGAGAACCGTGGTGCCTATATAGGGCCTAGACTCGGCAGGCAGTGTTTCAGTGGCAGCGCAAGGCCCAACAGCAACCCGATAAACCCTATAAACCCCATAAACCCTGCAAACCCTACAAACCCTACAAACCACGTAAAACCCTCTAAGCCCTATAAACCCCAGCCCCAAGCGCGCCTTCCGCGCATGATATGATCCGGAGGCCCCAGGCCAGCCGTGCAAAGGACCTTCACCCGATCCTTACCAGGATGCATGGTTGGTCGCTTCTCTAGATTTGTGGTCCCTCACTGTTACAAGGCAGGCGGCCCCGACAATTTAGGGCACCCAAAAAGGAACCACGATTTTGAGAACTGACCAAGTTGAATCGTGCGTTGCACGCCGCTGTTAAAGCCAAAAGCACCCAGCTACGGAAAGTGCAGCAGACATCACAGTCGCGGCCTTTCTGCGGTCTTGTTTTTGCCACCCGCCAAGCAGACAAGCCACACTGCAGGGTGACATTACGGGGTGGTTTAGGGGTTTAGGGTTTAGGGGTTTAGGGTTTAGGGTTTAGGGTTAGGGTCTAGGGATGAGGCCGAAAGATTCTCCAGAGTCCTACGAGTCCTACCACAGGTCCTACTAGTCTAGCTCACCTAGCACTGGGCCCTGGTCCACGGCTTGGGCTGCAGCCGCCCTTGCCTGGTGAAACCACCTCAAAGTTGCCCACTCAAGGACCAAGGTCGAAAAGTCGACATCTTCCACGCTCTTCCGTCCAAAGAAGAACTCGATGTTGTCCTGCCTTAACCATCTTACCATTAGGGTACCCTTTTTTTGGGGGCTGGTTACTTTGCAACTGTAAGGGAACCTTGAACCACCCAAAAAAGGGAAAAAAGGGTACCACTGGGCTACCCTCAGCTGCATTTCGTCGATGCACAGGCCCATGACCTGGGCAAACTCCGGGGTCGATGAGATGCTCTCAGGCAAATCCATCAGCATGGCCGCGCAATCTGCCCACGCCTCCAAGACTTGCATGTCGTGGACCTGCATAGCGTGCCTCCCCCCAAATGAACCAAAGCTCATTCAGGCTCTCCTATGCAGCCCCTCCTAATCCGAGGATCTGATGAATGAAACCATGGACATAAAAAACAAATTTGGCCCGAACCCTCCAGGAAGACTACTTTCCATTACAGGAGCCAAAAGTCCCAAAATGCACCAGAAAACCCCCGGGAGTAAAAAAAATCGGCGACACAAGAAAAATAGAAATGCCGAAGGCTACAGGAATAATGGAAACTCCTGGGAAGTGAGGCAAACTTGGGATCCCAGCTTAAGTAATGATACGACGTGCTCTCGGATTTTTTTGGGAATTGGAGACTGCAGCAGAAAGCTGCGATTCCTTACTACTTTTCATCTAGGATCATTGCCCAAATCATTCGATCCTGACCTACCCCTTACGGGGCCGGAACTCAGGTCAGAATTTGGGATTAATAAAACCCCGAAAATAATGGAAAGCCCGGCGAGCCCACCATGATAAGGCAAAAGCATAAGCCTTCCAAAAAGAAGAGCGGAAAAGGACACAAGAGGACAGCCCCTTTCCGCGCACCTCCCCCACCCCCTCACCTCAGCCCAGGAAATAAAAGACACCCTGCCTTTATTCTCGGGGCGGGGGGGGGGGGGTGGGCCCACTAATCAGAAGCGAGGATTATGTCCTAAGTACAGCGCAGCAAAGGACGGTTGACAGCACATTTTGAACCCTAAAACCCAACATAAATTTTATAAACCCCGGAATTCCATATCTGCACCCAGCAGCCAAGTGCCGGGAAAGGAGCTCCGCAGCAGCCAAAGACGCCCCCAGAGCCGACACTCTCTCTCCTTTTTCATGGCGGCTTATAGGGTTTTTTAGACGTTTTAAGGGTATGTTAGAGGGATTTTGAGTGTTTGTTTGCCACCCGCTGTCCATTTGGGTTGAGGGTTTAAAGAGGTTTGTTCAAGGGTTGTTGGAGGGATTCCAGGGTGGCTCTTGGGGGCTTTGGCGATTCCAGAACTTGGCGGTTTTTGCTGCCGCCCGCGTTGCAGGGTGTCGGGCAGTTCTCTTTAGGTCCTATGGGTTGTGGGTCCAGTTCCGTGTCCTGCGAGAACATGCCCCCAGGGTGCCCCCGCCCCATGTGCAGATTACATCGTGTTCCGAGCTCTAGGACTCTAGGGGCACAAACATAGTCATGGATTAAAAAAGCTCGACCCCTCCAAGTGCCAAGTCTCCAGCGTTCTGCGCTGCGATCTTCACGCCTCGAAGCCACTGTACAAGCTGGCCCCAGCACCAGATTGAGCCGGCTTCCGCTTGGAATTGTCGCAGGTAACGCTGCTTCTCTTGCAAGGGCCCACCTGCGCTGCTAGGTCGCTCGAAGTCGCTGCTGGACAGGCTGCGCTGAACAGCAAACAGCTCGGGGTCAGTGGTCTCTTGCCAGCGTCGGGCGCGCTCTTTCAAAGCCACATCTGAGACGGCTAGGCTCTCAAGCCAGGATGCTTGAAGGAAGTAGTCGGCACAGGCGTCAATGTAGGAGATGGTTACCTCTGTGTTTCCAGGAATGTCCTTCTTAGCACGGAGCAGGACCCAATCAGCGATGAAGTAGCGAGTTGCCTTATACACATGGCGCTGCTAATCTTTTGTACATCAACTTTTGCAACACTATGCAATCATTCTTTTGCGCCCGTTCCTGGGCAGTCCGGCATAAGCGCATAGACTTGCTGCGGCCATTTCTGCCAAGGCGCATTTGGAGCATCGGCATGGTTCAAAAAAGATGCTTCATGCCAAACTCCAATCCCGGTGTGGCAAACCACACAGTTTCTGCGCAGCAGCTCCCTCGCTGTCTCCTCCCGTGCCAGTCGCTGCACTCGCGATCCTAATAAATGCGATATTGATTCTGCCATGGTTGAAGGGCAAGGTTGTAATGAGTCAGTAACTAAGCAGAATTCAACGACCCTCACCCGGAGAAGGCGGGATACCATGGTTGCCCTGTCTTAAATGGTTTCATCGTGGGGCAAACTTGTTTTTTCAGGGTGGGTCGGCTCGCATGTGGCATTCTAAGCACGGTGGCTGGTTTGATGTCCATCCTGCCCATGTATTCGAGAATGCTTCGACACTCTGTGCAAGCCTGGACAAAGGCAGCCTAAAACTGGCTCGGATTGGCCAGGAAAGCTGGACTAGCCACTGCCGCCCCATGCAAAACACATCTCGCAAGAGAAAAGGGGTAACAGTCACAAGTATGGGAGAAGTAACGGAACGAAGGACAAAAGCCCTGCACAGAGGCTTCCATCAGAAAAAAAACCCACAGAGCCTGATGAAAACTTTGCACAGTCCAAACTCACTCCTTGTTCAACCCCGGCGAAGCTCAAGCTTCATGAGTAGACATACCAAAAAGCACCACCACTTCTGAAATGATCATCCATATGTTTATACACACATAGAGGGGAAAGAGAGAGAGAGAGAGAGAGACTATAAAAGGGCATGCTCTGTATACATATATATGTGTATATATACATACATGTATATGTCTTCAGGCTTCCCTGTGCTATCTTGTTATCGGTAGCAATGTGGAATCTGCAGCGAAGGGGGCTGTGGAAATGCCGAAGATGCAGTCGCGGTCGTTTTCCTCGAAGAAGCGCTCCGGCTTCGAAATGTGCAGCTCCGCTGCAGGATATGCCTATGGCACGATGGAGAATTGACACCTAAGGTGTCTGAGAATCGCTACACGTAGCTCAAAGGAAATCTGGCCAAAGGCATGCCTGCGGAAAGCGCGAGCGATGTTCACAAGCTCTCACATCTTTGCCATGATCACAGCTGTAGTTTACAAACTCGCCTCCTGATGCGACTGAACTGACATACCCCAAAAACCATAAACGGAAGCTGTGATCGGGGCAGGATTTGGAGAAGTCGGATCTGTCATCCCTGTTGCTGCTCTCCGCCGTTTGGCGGACAACAGAGCTCCACTGTACCGGAGCCTCCACGTTCCTGTCACAAGGAACTTCCGCAAAACATCCTGCTTCTGAACCTTTGTCAATCCGTCAGCTAACTGATGATCTGAGTCACACCAGAGCACTTCCGTATTCTGAGCCTTGAGATGTTGAAGCAAAGCGAGAAGCTCCAAGGAGGTGTACTTGTCACGCATGTTGACACCGATCTCGCCCTTTTGGATGGAGTCATAGAGAGCCTTAGCGTCAATGACCAAGTAGCCAGGGACCGACTTCACTGCCTCAGATGTCTTAGCCAAATTGACTTCGTAGCCTGACATTTCCGCCCATTCAAGACGACACCACATCAGGTCTTGCTCTGCATCAGCAAGGGCTTGCGTCTCTGCAGCGAGACTGCTGCGAGCGACGCGGGATAGTTTTCCGCTTCGCCATGAGATGGAATTCACTTTTCCATAGCCTTGCTTTGCCGCATCCACGTGCATGGCCCCGATGATGCATCCTCCTGTGCTTGTCATATCCGGACGATTCGCAAGCGCAGCGTCGGACCATGCAATGAAGCATACATCTTGCATGGACTTCGCTCCTAAGGATTGAACATTTGTAGAAACATCTCGTCCTGCATATACTTCACGGCATAATTTGTTCACTGTCGGAATCATGCTGGCATCACGTTGTGCAATCATGGATTGCAGCATGGAAAGCTTAGATGCATGTTGAGGGGCAGTTTGAAAGACACGCCATTGCACTGAACCCAAAATCGCTCGGACTTGACTCACCTCAGACTCGGTCATCTTACGATCCAAGTTGCCACGAACCTCTATCTGCTTCAGTTCCCGACAGAACTCGCTATGGTCCAGAGTGAAGGAGCAATCAGCATGTTGAGATACAGAGACACCGCAATGCATGAAGGAGTCATGTTCCCAAGGAGTCCATGAGTATTTTGCATGAAAACCCTCCAAAAAGGCTATGTAGGCTTCATCATTCTCATCTCCACCCATTAGGAAATCATCAACATGACACGTCACCAGGCCAACTACGACCTTCTTGCCGTTGACGAGCTTGGTGATCCGCCAAACGCATGGATCAGTAGTCAACCTCTCGCCTCCCAGCCGTTCAATGGTGTGATGAACATCATCATACCACTCTCTGGGAGCCGAACATAACCCATAGCACGATTTCAGGAGAACAACTGCCTGCTCTTCACTAACTCCCAAAGCGGTCGCCAGTTCGGGAACTGGCAGCGCGTGGATGCCTCGAGCAGCTTGCGGTGATTCGGCCTGCAAGAAGGCGGATTTCACGTCGCCTTTAAGAACCCGCCAAGAGTTCACACTACAAGCGTTCAAGAACAGTTGCCTGCTCAACCTGCTCATCGTCGGCGACGCGGTCTGTAACTCGAGGAGAGACGGGTCGCTATAACCGAGTATGACGATTCTAGCCTTGGCTTTCACCCTTGAAGGGTCCGCAGTACCCTTAAAGGTGAGCACCCAACGCATTTTGAGTAGCTGCTCCTTGGGGATGACCTCCTCAGCTGCTTTGCACGCAGCAGTCGCCAACCATTGCCGAACTTCTAGTTGTTTTGCCTCGTTCATGGCCTGCTTCTGTTGGACGTTGAGTTTGTGCCAGCTGACCTCTATCCCCTTTTGCACACCTTTTGCCACAAATTTTGCGGGACATTTCACAAGTTTCCTCCATTCCTGCTCGTCTCGCGACAGCTCGAGAGAGCATATCTCGCTCCCTTTGCTGCTGAAAGGCTTGTTCGGCCCTTTTCCGAAGCTCAAAATGATCTCGCATGGAACTTGGCTCCTCAGCTGTGGCATTCTGCATGGCAACCCAATCTCCAGGTCCATCGACCGCATGTCCTCCAGGAGCAAGGTCACGACCCACAGCCCATTGTAGAGGGCTGAACCCGTGATTTCGGGCCAGAGAGTTGTGCGCAGCTGCCATCGCATACGCGGCCCGAGTAGGATCAGTCGGTTCTTGTCGAAGGAAAGCTTCCATTTTGCTTCGCAAGTACCCTATCTCTCTTTCCACATCACCAATAGCGGCATGGAACTCAGCAGGCACATGCTCGAGGACAATTCCTCTCTCAGCACACCACAGCGCCAACGAGGTTCCTCGGAAAGCTCCTTCAGGATCCAGCTTGATCGTATTTGGCATTCCAAAGTACTGGCACCAGGCCTTCTCAAGGACATCAATCACACTCATGGTGTCCATGTTCTCGGCCGAATCCTTCGAGTGCACATTCATCTCGTGGATCACCGCATAACCGGATGCCTCGTCCATCATGACCAAGTAGTGGTAGACCTTGTCTTCAAACTTAAACATCATGCCATCAAGCTGGAGAGTGTGCCACAACGTGTCCGACTTGTTCAGGTTCACGGCCGGAGCAGGAAGTTTACTTTGTCCTTCATGGCACTCGCTACATTTGTACTGTTGCGCTGCCGCCAGCAAGCGATCATCCGCGCCACGGGCCCGAAGATTCTTCACCAACAAATGGGACGAAGGATGCCCCAATTTCCGATGAAGCTTTGCCACCACATCCATCACAGCCTGAAGTTCTTGCGTCGTCATGGTTCTCAACACGCTTTCATCCACCCCATAGGCTTCCGACACCTCATGCTGAAGGGCCATAATGCACGCCGCACCCGATGTCAAACATGAGGCCGTGGTCGGACCTTCGGCTCGGCCTTGTTTTGCCACTGCCACATCAACCATCTTCAGGAGATCTGAATCAGTACATCTGATCTTGTGACCCTGTGGGACCTTGATCTCAGTCCACCCATCCTTTTCTCGTTGATCATGCCAGAAAGATCTAGACTCCCAATAGTTCCATGAGGGACTTTCAGGGAGTATATCCCAGATCACGTGGCCACCTTGTTCACGCACGGTTTGCGAGACCATCAAGCAATGACGCACGACCTTGCGGTGACGATGTTGGGATTTGATCTTCTTCTGGTAAGATGCCTGCTCATTGTCAGCCATCGATGTCAAGGATTTTTCCACTTGGCCTGCTGGGACATGAAGCCATACATATCGAGGTTTCAGCTCCTTGATGGTATCGCAAAGCTTTCGCACGCCGCCCTTCGTGGTCATATCGAAGCCGTTGTGTGTTCCAGCCTCAAAGACTTGCCCACCTTTGGACTGAACCCCTCCAGTAGATCTGTACGAACCTGTCGGCAAAAGGGCTGCACATCTGCCTGCACATCCTTTTCATGGTTCTCGAGCGCATTCACAAGGAAGGCCTTATCGGCATCAGGGAGGACATACTGGATGGGCATCATGTCTCCCCCTTCATCACCCGCTTCGGTTTCCAGCACCTCTTCGATCTTTTGGCGGCGCTTCTTAGCAGGCGGTAAGGGGAATTTTAAGGCCTTCAGGTCATGCCGGACTCCATCAGGGATGCGATCTTGGCCTCGAGATGTATATGCCAGAATCGCCAGGCGGTCACCAGTCCACTCACTCGTTGCATGAAGTTGTCGAGGTCGGAATCCGACGCACCGATGACGAGTCTCAACTCGATGCCCAAGTGCCTTCGAACCATCCGGCTTCGATCTCCAACTCAAGACGCTGGGATCCTCGGGATTGAAGGTTTCAGAATGAGCTTCAAGCCACAAATCTCCTCCAGTATAGGATCCAAGTCCGAGAAGCCAATTCCAAGACTCATCTTGGTTGTTGCTGTCAGTGTGCGGAACAGCCTTCATATTCAACGCAATGCTGATGGAAGTCCATGTTTGGCCTGCGGGTAGATGAGCACTAAGGAATGCATTCAAGTACTCACAGAGGCGAGGCCTTCTGATGGTGATTTTGGTCTGACCCACAATTCCTCCATGAGTGAACAAGCCAAGGACTGCCACCCAGGACTCAGCACGTTTGGATTGCAGGATTGACCGACTTGGACCTGGAGCTGAAAGATCAGCACCACGCAGCAGACTTTCACATGCCTCAAAAGAGTAGTTCTTAGTGGCCAAGAGACTTGCTGCCAAGGCCTCAGACTCAGCCTGCTGGAGATTGTAGGCCTCCTCAACCGCCAGCGCATCAAAGTCCTCTACTCCTGTCGACTGGCATACTCCAACTCTTCGGCCGCTTGTTCTCGAGGCTTCTTGCGTCCCGGAGTGGCGTTCATCTCGTCCACATTGATCACCGGCGGTGGCGGGGACGCTGTCGGCAAGACCTCGTAGCCTGCCAGAGATGATGCTGCGCTGGTGGGACTTCTGGCCACTGTAGCTACAGGAGCCTCCGTCATGGTTGCAGCCTTCGGCTTCACTTCCTTTGCCTTGAGAGCTCTCACCTGGGCAAGGCGTTGTTCCGCCGACCTCTCGGCTGCATCCAGTCCAATCGTGCGATCCTTCAGGTTGATGTTCTCTTCCAACTTCTCGCCCTTGGCCTGGATCTCGTGGATTTGCTTCTGGGTGTCCGAGCTCAAGGGGCCGGGCGAGCGATGCAGGGCATGTGCTCCGGTACGAGGAACATACAGCAACCTCAGGGAGCACGTGCGGCAAACGCGCCACATTGCGTGGGAGTTGGCCCCGGATTTGGACCCTCGTCCCGGTGGCTGAACCTCGTGGTTGGAAAAGCACGGTGCCCCCACTGCTCGAGGATCCCGCGGATCGGGACCCTCCGCCCTCTCGAAGTCCAGAGGTGCTGACGGCATCTTGGCTCTCCCCTTGGACGCCGGCTTGGCCTTGCTGTTGGCACTGGGGACTGTAGTTGATGACTCGTCCAAGGAAGACGCCATCTCGGCTGCCAACACTTGCTCCTTGATCTTCTCGATCTCGGAGGCTGCCGCCATGAGAGTGAAGCGCAGCAAGAGTGAGCAGGGGAAGCAATGTCGCAGGGCGCATTGATGTTCGAATTTCTCGAGCCTCAGTGCCATCGGGATGTGCATGGTGCTCATGCGCCACAGCAGTCACGTGTACATCACTGTCAGCAGGGGGACCATGTCTTGCATCACGAAGGCTGACATGAACCGCATCACACTGTGCTTCATGAGGCTGAGCGGGCGCTTGCACTTCCTCTCTGATCACTGCAAAAACTGGGCTTGCATCTTCAACGAAATTTTGCTCTTCTTCGGGCTCCTGGAGAATGTGTGAAGGTATGGAGTCTAGCCGGAACCCTTGCTCAAGCCAGTCACGGGCCAGGTTGAGGAGAAGATGTCCTGACCGGCTCTTCTGAAGGGGTATTCCTAAACCAGGATCCACAGCAGCGAACACGGCTATACTGCGGTTGGTGTCGATGATGGCTTTCATCTTGTTTAGGGTTCGGATACCGATCAAGATGGGGACACGTTCCACATCGAGGGTGAAGATGCCTAACCGCAGATGCAGAGACCCAACAGTCTGATTCAAGAGAACATGGCTAGTCGCGTGCTCACACAAGCCGTTTCCGAATCGGAATCTCCTTCCAGGATTGGCGCGAACTTCAAGCTCCTCAACAGACCCTTGAATCTCAAACCGCTTCTGCAATAGAGACTCAAGCGCAGGGAGGCTCCCGACGGTCTCCGTAGCGCCGGTGTCGAGCACTGCGAACCCTTCCATCTCAGGACTCGATCCAACGAACTCACCGTTGGGCACTGCTGAGGCGAACGTGTAGTCGGGATCGATCTCGTGCTGATACTCCGCGCCATCGCTGATCATGTACACCGGGGCATCGTCAATGAGGAAGGATCGAGAGCCACCCTTGACGCCGCCCTTGGAACCCTTCGAGCGAAGCCTCTTGGGACAGTCACGGAATGCATGACCCTTATCTCCGCAGATGAAGCAGCCACTGAAGCTTGGATCTCCAGGGACCATTGCCATGATGTCTGTGGTGTGCATTACTGAGCCATTGGTCAAGGAGGTAGAAGAAAAAGAGGACGAAGACACGCCTTTCCCTTTTCCTTTTCCTTTAGAACCCTTACCTTTACCCTTAAACCTAGGCTTACCCTTGGACGATGGAACAAAAGGATAAAAGCCACGGCTCAAGGTCTTGGCTTTCATCGCCTGGCGCGCCTCCACGAAGGATCTTTGCTTGGCCTCGGCTGCTGCGAATGCCTCTGCCACTTCTTTCTGCTGTTCATCAGGCAGCTCTGCCATAAATGAGGATTCATACGCAGTCCAGGACCAATAGATCCCATGGTCATCATGGTGGTAGAACTCGCCATCGCCGCCATCCATCCACCAAGACCAGCTCCCGTCTGTCTCTTGATGCCAGAAGCCACTGGAGTCTTGATAGCTCCCATCATCCATGCCACTGGAGCTCTCATAGACTTGCGACGGAAGCTTCGCGCCTACATGGAAGATCTCTGTGTGCTCCAACATTTCACCAATTTCATCTTCGTCGGCAAGCACCGTCGCCCATTCACCATTCTCCTCCATCCAGAAGGTCCGACGGGGACGCTGATGAAGAGCCTGTCGGCGCTGCTCGTCTTGAGTCAACTCTTCCTCCATGCCTCGCATCGCGTGCTCCACGTCTTCAAAGCGGAGGCTATTGCCCGCCGAGGCCTGCACAGCCAGCCGAGCAGCGGTGCTCAGACCTGCTCTACGAAGAAGAAGCCAGCCTAAGACTTCGGACGGTAGCACATCCTCCATGATCTCCTCGTAGGCATCCCACATCTGAAGATCTTGAAGGGCATGCTCCGAGTCTTCAGAATCGCTCTCCTGTCTCCGGAAGCGACGTGACTTGCTGGATCTCCCGAGGCCTTTTGCTTCCAGTTCTTTCTCAAGGTCATCGTCAAACTCAGCCTCTCCCTCATCTTCGCCAAGACGCGAAGACTGCCCGCCGGGAGAAGTCTCTTCCTCAGGCAGCGGTTCTTCTTGAGTCTCCTGACTTCGGCGCCGAGACGAAGGAGCAGAGGAGTGAGACTCTCCAAGGGCCGTACGTCCACTGCCGCCAGAGACGCCATACTTGCTTTCAGCTGCCTTTCTCGCACGAAAGAGGGCAATCTGGACCTTGCGATAAACTTGCCGCACCTGAGTTGCCCACGAGGCAATCGAGGTGCCGGGCTGTCGCCGAAGGCGGATCATCAGATCCTCTAGCCTCAGGCCCACGTCTGGAATGGCTGTCCTGCCCAACCGTTCCCTCAAGAATCGAAGGAGGTATATGACTCCATCCCTTCTCACCAGGGCTCTGTGGTCGACCTCCTGGGTCACCACCCACGCACGCCCTGACAGCTGGCTCACCAGCTCAGGTGCCAGGCGGTGGCGATTTCGACGCCTTGTCTTTTCGAACAGCAAGCGGACCCGCCGAACATAGTCCGGCCATGAGGAAGCATCGCCATTCCAGGGGCAGGACTGAAAACGGTCCTCTTTGGAATCAGCCATCGCCAGCAACAGGATCTCTCAACGGTTCTGCAGGACAAAACTTGCACTGAAACGAATTGAAAAAGGTGAAGCACGACCTCCGCCGGCCTGGACTCTTTGCTCTCGTCTTGAACAGATCAGATCCAACACTGGTGCTTCTCAGCGAAGATGTCAGAAAGCAGAATCGCGCAGCGGTAGCCTCAGGAACCCTTTCTCGGGCTCCGCTACCAATATCGGTAGCAATGTGGAATCTGCAGCGAAGGGGGCTGTGGAAATGCCGAAGATGCAGTCGCGGTCGTTTTCCTCGAAGAAGCGCTCCGGCTTCGAAATGTGCAGCTCCGCTGCAGGATATGCCTATGGCACGATGGAGAATTGACACCTAAGGTGTCTGAGAATCGCTACACGTAGCTCAAAGGAAATCTGGCCAAAGGCATGCCTGCGGAAAGCGCGAGCGATGTTCACAAGCTCTCACATCTTTGCCATGATCACAGCTGTAGTTTACAAACTCGCCTCCTGATGCGACTGAACTGACACTTGTATCCCTTGGCTTGAAAAAATGCCGGCGCTGCCAATTCAAAGAGAACACTGTGGAGCCGCCACGGCACACCTTAGAGGACCATGAGACCAAGTGCCTTGAAGCAAAAGTGTGGCGCCACCCATGTAAACCTCAACCCTGAACCCCTAAACCCCTATTCAGTCCCATTCTCCCCCCCCCCCCCCCCCCCCCCCCCCCCCCCCCATTCCTCGTTGATGATCCCCGCATTCGGCGGAGGCGCGTCGCGCAACCCGCAGAGTTTGGAGAGACATTCGTGCTCAAAGCCACTTGCTGCCAGAACCTGACTTCAGCCCCGGGTGCTTGTAGGCTTTGGGGTTTTTAAAGTCGAAAGCCTGCGGGCTTCAACAAACTGGATTCCAGGGGACACGTCAGGAGGTTGGGGGACATGGTGCATCATGACAGGCGGCCTTGTCAACGAGGATCTGATGGTTGCCCTGGCGCAATTCCTCCAGGCCACATTCTGCAGATCATGGATGTACGTTGGACGCTGAGAGGATATGCCGTTTAACGTTCCCCGAGCTGTGTAGGGCTGCTCTTCGTCTACTTCTGCGACCATTTATCCCATGCCGGCGTGTCGCTGTGTAGGCAGCGAAGATCAGCGGCTTGCCGACGACCAACAGCTCCCCTTACGGGCACGTAGCGGATCAGGGCTGCCCCAAAGAATGGACGAGCATGGGCCACATGCATTGCGCGGGCGCACACACACACACACACACACCAAATGGGCGGAGATGACGCTCCTGGCCTTTAAAACATCGCCAACCCTCAAAAACCCGCCCTTTGCCCAGTCTCAACTCCTTCCCCTCTTGAATCCCGATTAAAAACCATGCAAAGGCCCTCTAAAGGCCTTCAGCAATGTCGCGCTTGGCCCTCCAACCCAGGCCATGGCTGCACTCCACCAGCTCCTCTCAGACGCTCACAAACTCGGGCGGGGGGTGGGGGGGGGATTCTGCGAGTCTGCCAGGTGGTTGAACGTCTAAAACGGGTGTCTTTTGTATTTTAATTCTATATTTACACACACATGTATATACAATATACATATTTGTTATTGGCTTTGTTGTTTGTTTTGTTTTTCTTTCCTTTTTTATCTAGGAATTGAAGATATACATGCGATTGGCGTCCATGGCATCGTCGTTGCAGAACTCGCTCAGGGGCCGGCTGTGCTCCAGTCGTAGAGTCTCTTGAAGACAAGCCTTGCGGACAATGTTTATAAGTTGGGATGTTCCCCCCTTATACTAGCAGTCCTGAATAGCGCTTGTAGTACTCCCTATGTGAATCCCTTTTTTTAAGGGCTATGTAGTGATATGAGGGTGAGTATCCTAATCTAGAGGCGTAGCTTATCTGTCATCTGTGTACACTTCACCCTTATACTAGCAGTCCTTAAGAGCGATTGTAGTACCCCCTATGTTAATCCTTATTAAGAACTATAATAGTGTAAGGGGGTCCCAATTTAGAAGCGTAGCTTATCAGTCATATCTGTTTACACCTCGAAGCTGGAGACCCTGCAGTAGAAGGAAAGTGGACACAGCGCAAGCCTGCCCAACAACATGCCAAGGTCCAATCCCCTTGCCTGTACTGCACCGCAACACCTCCACATCTAAACATCAAGAACCATCCGGACCGATAACAGCGACTCAACTACCCAGACACCCTCAAGCCCATAAACCCTATAAAGCCCCCTAAACCCTAAACCCTAAACCCTAAACCCTAAACCCTAAACCCTAAACCCTAAACCCTAAACCCTAAACCCCAACATGTCAAGCCCCCCCAATCAATGGCCCCACGCCTCTGCGAGCATCGGCCGAAAGTCGAACTTTCCGCGCGCCTGCGCTGCCGCCCCTTGGGCCCGCCGCAGGGCCGCGGCAACCTTTACAAAGCTGAGTTATAGGGGTTAGGGTTTAGGGATTTTTCCCTCCTGCACAGGGTTTAGGGTTGAGGGTTCTTTTTTGGGGTTTAGGGTTTAGCCCTAGGACTCCAAGTATACAAATGACGCCTACATTTGGGGTCTAAAGTCTGTAAGCAATACCTACTTTAAATTAGTAGGCTATTTGGAGCGTGCCTACCTGGTCCTTAAGAACCCCGAACCGACAGTTTTATAAGGAGCTTCCTAGTCATAACCTACCAAAAAGTAGGCTTGGGGGTCTGAAGGTATGGTTTTGGGTTATTTGTTGCTATGTAGTTGTTTTTTCACTCCTGTACAGCTGGGTCTATAAGGTTCAACGGTGTAAGATTTAGGGTCTGTAGGATAATTATGGCCTGGGCTGTAGTTTCCATGTGTTTTTTCGCACGCCTGTTTCAGAAAGGGTCATAGGGTTTGACGAGTGAGCCCGAAAAACGCCCCAGAACGAACTAGAGACAGGGCTGAGGTTGAACAAGGCTCTGGTTAAGATTTTCCAGCAGGTGCAGACGGTTCGTCCTCAAACTTGGACCTTCTTGGTAGGGGGCTTTATGTGGCTATATGCTCGTGCCTGCCGAGAGGGGGCGTCCGAGCACGCAGAACAACCATCAGAAACTCGCGAAACCCTCGAACACCTGAGTCCCGCAAACCCTCGTCCACACTCCACCTCCTCCAACCGGCAAAGTGAGAAGAGTATTTTATCACACCTGTAAATTGTTTTTTTTTTTGTTGGGGGGGCGGGGGGGGGGGGACCCAAAAAGGGACGACAATTTAGAGAACTGCCCGCATGCCAATGGGTTGCACACGTTTGGCTACTTCCGGGTTGGACTCACAAGCGCTCAAGACGACATTCGAAGGCCACAGGTTGCGGATGTCGGAAACAACCCCCTTTTTTGCATCAGGTCTCATTTGAAAACCTCAACCCTAAACCCTAAACCCTAAACCCCAAACCCTAAACCCTAAACCCTAAACCCCAAACCCCAAACCCCAAACAGCTACAGGCCTCCTCGCTCTGTGGCTCCAAGACCTTGACGGCTTCTAGGCACTTGGCAGCGTCGACGTGTCGCCCCAGCCCGGTCAAAGCTTGACCACGCCTTTTAGGGTATAGGGGTTTAGGGTTTAGGTTTAGGGTTATGGGCGTAATCCCCTCCCCCTACGTAATCTTAACCCCCCCTACCCCCTAACATTTAAAGTCCCCATATACGATAACTTAACTCTAATCGGGGTATTTAGTGTTCGGGGGTTTAGGGCGGCGGGTTTAACACTAGGCGGAGGGGATAAGTCACACGCATCTCTCACAAGCCAAGCAAGGCTTGCCCTGTCAGGAGTGTAGCAGGACCAGGATTTCATGTTACCGCCAACCCGAAAAAGCCCTGAAATGAACCCCACATTGGACAGACGCGCCCTGGCGCCTAAACAAGGCTTTGGCATGTTCTGGCTTCGCAGCCAGAACCCGGTCGCAGTCGGCCAATGTTTCCGCATATCGGCCCAGCCGCAGCGTCACCAGGGCCCGATTGGCCAAGAGCGGCACGCACAGCTCCTTCAAGGGCACCCTTTTCTTGGGGTGGCTACTTTATAAAGGGAACCGATAACCACATTATCATAAGGGCACCCTTTTTGGGGGGGTGGTTACTTTATAAGGGAACAAAAAGGGTACATGGCACCACTGGGCTACGAAGGCTCCTCAGTCTCAGCAAGCTGTAGAGCTTCCGCGTAGGCCTCCAAAGCATCCTGCCCCAGGTTTAGGGTTTAGGGTTTAGGGTTTAGGATTTAGGGTTTCGACTCTCACACTCGCACAAGGCCGGATTTAGGGTTTAGGGTTTAGGGTTTAGGGTTTAGGGTTCCCCCACAAGCGTTGAATTCTGAAATGCGCTGGTTGGGGTCCCTTGAATAAGGGAACCCTACTATTTGGGGGTTTATGTTAGGGGTCCCCCATTTTCGTAAACCCCCATGCGCTGGGATGCTGCAAGAACTAACTTGAACGGCTAGGCACCAGGAACCCGAAACCCTAAACCCTAAACCTTAAACCTTAAACCCTAAGCCCTTGCCGCCTGATCCTGGCCGAGCTTCACAAACTGGTTGCCTCTGTCCCTCGCTGCACGGTAGCTATCGCTGCCACCCATCGTCATGGCACAAAGGGCCCTGCATTCTAGCCCTCTAGCCTGTGTGGATGATGATGATGATGATTATGAAAAAAGTATGATTATGATTATGATTATTATGATTCTGATTATTATTAGTATTAATATGAGTATTAGTATTCGTATTAGTATTAGGATTAAGTATTTGTATTAGTACTAGTTCTAGTATTAGTATTATTATTATTCTTACTACTATTACTATGATTATTCTTGTGGTAGGAAGATACGCATGGTTACTGTGCTTCCGTGCTGTGCTGCATGCATGCTGCGTTGCGCCTCGGAGGGTTGTCCCGCGCTGAAAGGCTTACGGCACAACCTGGAGTTGAGGCTCAGTCCACGCAACGAGTTGCTCCAACAACAGGGTTTAGGGTTTAGGGTTTAGGGTTTAGGGTTTAGGGTTTAGGGTTGAGGGTTTAGGGTTTAGGGTTCGGGTTTAGGGTTTAGGGTTTAGGGTTTAGGGTTACCTAGTTGCTGAGTACTCTGGCCGCAAAAAGGTTAACCCTTAAATTATGGTAGGATTGTTTTTTATACCCCAAAAGGTTCAAGGTTATCTACTCAGCTACTAAGGGAACAAGGAACATAAACGCCTGGCATTCTGAGATCGGGACATGCAAGCTGCCAAGGTCTTGCACCAACCGGGCGAAGCTTCTGTCGATGCTCTCCTGCATGTTGACTTGGCGCAAGCAACCCATCACACAAGAGATGATGATTATTTGTAGTATTATTATGATTAGCATTACGATTATAAATACCATTATTAGTATGATTATTATTCTTAGCCAGGTCGTGAGCCTTCTCGTGCTTGAGGCTGCCCCACGGCTGCATGCCGCCAAGAAGCCTGACATGAAAGCGACTAGGGTTTATGGGGTATAGGGTATAGGGTAAAGGGTATAGGGTTTAGGGTCTAGGGTTTAGGGTTTAGGGTTTAGGGTCAATCACGGACGGTGCGCTAGGTTTGTGCTTCATCATCAGCTGCTGTGCCATCTGGCCTCCAAAGCTGCGGATTTTAGTATGGCCGAGCAGTGTCCATGCTGCGCGACACCACTACGTTCTGCAAACTTCCGTGGTCACACTCTAGGTGCTTGCAGGCAAGCATGCCTTCGTTCAACATGTGCCCTGCTCGTCGTCAAGAATACTTACAACTTGCATCTGCTCGCCAGTGAAGCTCCTGCCAACATCTGAAACGTGCCATTTGCCGACAATGCTCTGTCCTGGTGGGATGGTAGAGAGGTGCGCGCGTGTCCCGGCATGACATCATGATACATCATGGCAAACCGAAATCGGACGAAATGCGATGGGAGAAACTATGCTCTTCACATATTATGAAGTAGTCGCAAAGGGATTTTCCCCCACAGCCATTGCAGTAATCCCTCACTATAATTTAACAATCAGGGGAGGGGGGGGGGGGGTATTTCATATTAGGGGTAGGGGGGGGCGGGGGGGCTGCAAATGGCCCTTAAAACCCTCTCAAAAAGTATATTTCTAGATATGACCCTCTTCAACCCAAAAGGGGAGAATATAGAAAATATTCCCAAGGGCCTACCTAGACCTAGAATATCACTTCAAAGTCGCAATTGGCCTCGAATGATGTTGATAATTTATCCGAATTCTTCATGTCGTGCAATCTGCGCGTGTGTATAAGGTCACATGTGCTCCATGCGGCACACGGATTGTGTTCAGTCTCTGATTTGCTTCTTGATGTCCATGTCAAATGGCCTCGTAAATAGCACTTTCACTAAGTTGACGAAAAGAATTCACACGAAATATCTTAACTAGATTCGTCAACATAACTGGAAGTCAGCTATAATGGTTATTAAACTACGTATTTTGGGATCAGCCTGCCGCTTTCCACTTTTTTGGGCCCATGCAGTTCGTTGTCCACTTTCCACATTTTCTCATGCTGTTGTCGGTTTCGGCTTCTCTTATTCCTTTTGTTTGAAGAGGGGGGGGGGGGGGGGAAGAAGGGGAACACAAGGGGAAAGGGGGAAGGGGTGTCAGTCCAAAACAAAAGGGGAACTGGAAAGGATACGGAAAAAATTGACAGCGGATCTTGGGTTCCTAATCCTGAAAACCCTTGGATCTTGGATCTTGGCTCTTTGTGGCCTTGAAAAAATGGACCTTAAACACATGGATCTTGGATAGGTCGCGCGAAGGCCACGGACATGAGTCTAGCCGACCAAAAGGTGGGGTACATGGGAACATTTTGCACACACGACTTCATGATATGTGGAATGACCTGGCAAGCGCTTGCTGCGCAACTGCCAGGCGAAAACAAACAAAGACCCAAGGACCTTGGGAAACAACAAGAGTGCGTGAACCGAGGTACTGGTCAAAGAACTGCGTGGCGCCCCTGGCCATGCTACTGAGCACAGCACCAGTCATGCAAGCAAAGATGTTTGCACTGCCAAGCGCAGCTGACAACACCCTGGCGAGAGTGCGAAACTACCGAAAGATGATGCGAGAGAAGTTCTCATGGACCCACAGCTACCATGGCGCAACGGGCTCTTTTTCGCTTCTGACCTCAGTGTCGGTCAGTCCGCTTTGACACGTTGAGTCGCCCAAGCGCCGGCCAAGCCGGTCGCACCACCAACCTCGGAACGCACCGTGAAGCTTAGAATGAGCTAGGGCTTAGGGGTGTTTAGGGTTTAGGGGTTTGTAGGGCTGTAGGGTTTATAGGGTTTAGGGTTGAGGAATTTAGGATGTTTAGGATGGGGTTGATGGTTAGGGGCACACTTTTCATCGGGGGCGGGCTCGCTGACGGCGGAGAATGGACAACTACCAAGGCAATTGAAACATCTGAGCCTTGCACGAAAAGGCCGGTCCCTCCACCACCGACAGCAAAGATCGGGATGGAAAGGCCAAACGTGAACAGTGCTGGGAGCACCCCAACCGCAGCTCCAATGACGGTGCCACAGACAACGCCGACCCCGCTGCCAATGATCATGCCTCGCTCAAGAGGCGGTGTGGAAGTTAACGCTGCGCCTTTTGCTTGTCCAGGCGAGGACGTCGCTGCTGCATCGCTGGGGTTGTTGCGAGGTCCATCCGCAGGATGTGCGTCGGATGTTGACCCAATTTCTCTCTCAAAGCGCTTCCTGATGCGTTCTTCCACCAGAACCGCCTCCTCCTCTATCAACTTCAAAAAGCGAATAATCCGCCACCATCGAACAGCGAATGCCATGTGAGCAGTTTGTTGTGAGAAAAGCGTAAACGCCACATTCATGCACACCACGCCCAAATCCAATAAATGCCATGGGTTACCCAGCATCTGGAACGGAGCAACCATGATCTTGAGGACCATCTCCAGCGCGAAGACACAGACGATAACACAGGACAGGCTTCCAAAGGCCTCCAAAACTGCAGCGGTGCGCTCGGCGTGCGCGCCTTCGCATGCGAAGCCATGAACGAGGTCCGGAGCCTCCTGAGAAAATAAGCAGAGGAATCTAGACTCGACCCCTGCTTCGATGAAGGAGGTGAGAAGCTCCAAGGTGACCAGGAGCAAGATCATGCTTTCTGCAGCGCTGGTATGCAAGAGGCGTCCCAGGCGCAATCGAAACAATGCAAAGCTGGTCATGGGCTGCCCTACAAGGGCTGCAATACGCAAGCGTTCATGGCAGCCTTGGCTGTGCCGCGGCGTCCGTCGCAACACTTCTTTCACGAACTTCTCAACCTCAAAGTGCGAGGCAGCAGCGCATGGCCGTGTGCCCCCCATATTTGCAGCCATGAGCACTACTCACCATTCGACGGGACGCTGTCTACGACCTCCGAAGTGGCAGTTCTGTACATGCTGGTTTGCCTGCTGAGTTGCAAAAGGGCCACTTGCCAAATGTACGTATTTGAACAGCTTGATGCGCATGGTGTCTGAGCCGGCATAAACTTGCCGAGAATCTCATCTTCAGGGCAGGTTCGGGGTTCAGCAACCCGCATTATTTCAGGGTCGAGTTCTTCAAGGGAGCTGAGGTCATCCGCTGCACGAAGATGCGCACGGAACTCTGCAAGTCTCCTGCAGGCTAAGATGTGAAAACATTCTGTTGGGGAGTTGGAGGGCCGCCCACCAACCTCTTTCAACCTAACAACCAAAGCTTCAACTGCAAGGAAACGACGGCCAATACAAGTTCGCACCATATTCACACATTGCGCAACTGCATCCCAGGCCCAGGCATCAGGCGTTGGATCAAGTTGAAAATCTAAGGTAGCAACAACAATGATAACAATAATCGTATTTGTGATCGTATCAAAAGCCAGAGTCAATTAGAACGATATGTACGAACAACGGCAGAGCCACCGTCGCTCAGTAGCTATGGAACCGGACTTCACTATTTCGTCTGCTGGGTTTTCCCTGCACCCCCAGGTTAATTACACAGGAATACGGCCTAACTAGCATGTTGTGTGCAAGGGTTCTGCTGGGTGAGCTTGTGAACGAGCTCGGCCATTTTCCAGCCTTGTGGCGGAAACCTGTAAGAAAGGACGTGCCTCAGCCTTTAAAACTTGCAAGCGCCGATCTGTACTGCCAGGCGTACAAGCCGAGAAGCAGTCCGTACATCGATATGAAGACCGCAAGATATCTATCAGGCGTCTTCGACAAACTGAAATAGCAAAATGGAAACCAAAAGCAGGCCAGCAAAAGCAGCTTCAGGACAACAAGAAGCACTACAGCCGTCGACCTACGCAGTTTCGAACATAATGACAGTCCCACCCTCGGGATATTGATGCCAAGCCAGAAGAAGAAGAGCGTGACGGCGGGCACGTGCAAGAACGCGACGGGCCATTGCCAAAAGATCCATTCCTCGTCAACATGCCCATTTGACAGTCCCAGGTTGTATGGCTTGATGCGGTGCAGGCCGAGGTGGATGTATTGTGGCAGCAACGCCAGTGGTGAGGCGACCATCAGTGCTAGAATGAAACGAGCCGGCGGAATGCTGGAGCCGAGACCTTTCATCACAAAGCCCTTCATCTGGGCGTGAACTACACCATCAAAGTTGTCCAAGTGATCCTCATCTCCTCCGCCGCCGTACCACCTTCGTAGGGTCTGGAAGACTAATTGCCTGTCGCAGATGATGTCTTGGCCGGTGGCAGGGTCCACGTGATTGAATGTGCAACATGAGCACTCCGCCTCTCGAACGCTGAAGTTTTGCATCTGGGCCTCTAACCCCGACAAGTCGCGCGCGTGCTGCATCCCAATGGACACTTGCAACGCCCAGCAGAAGATCAGTATGGGAGCAAGGACTGCTCCAGCAAGCAAATTTGCCAACCATATACTGCTAGAATCCACGCCCATGAATGCCCATTCCTCCATGAACAGCCATACATGAAAGAACCCCCAGAAGACCGTGTTGGTGATGAAGATCAAAAGCAATGATGACACCATGGCAACCGGCACGATCTTCACCGGTTTTCCACCTCCCTCCGGCCTTAGAAAATGTGCCAACTCAAACGTGCACCAAAGGCGGGAGAATGTGCGCGGCGTCCAGAGGATCGCAAGTTGTTCAGACTTGGCCAGAAAACCGGCTAGCCCCAAGATCCCCTGCCGTTTAAGATCAGGATCATGTTGCGCAATGCATAGACGGTCCAGGAATACGATCGGCACACGACAACGGAGGAGGCATCGAACGCGTTGCCAGAAACAGAAAACCAGAACAAAGGTGGAGTGTGTTGAAAAACTTGCTGTTGGCCAACCTCCTGGCAGGCGATTCGCCATGAGCAACCCGCAACACAAAATACTGATGCACACAGTTGCGAGCGCTGCAGGAGTGCCATTGAAAAACAAGAGTAAAGCCAACGTCTTTGAAGTCGGGGATGTGGCCCAATCATGGCTCAAGAAGTAGTCAATGGATCCGACTCTTTGGCTGAGACGATAGCCATCAGAGCTACGTCGTGACCAGAAATTGGCACCCCACCATCGGAGGCATACGTCCAGGGCAGTGCCTCGGATCATCTCCGGCGGGAGCTCCGATGGCAACGAACTGGATGTGTGCTGGGAGTTCCGCCTCTCAGCTTCATGTTCCCCATGCTCGCCACGTTCCTGATCGCCACTGGGCAGAGGTGAAGCTACTGGTGATGGACGCCACGGCACCATCAAGGTGAAACAAAGGCCCAAACATGTACCCAGTATCACCTATGGAGACCTGCATATCCCCAAGTGCTTAGATCTTGCTGTTGCTGGCGAGGCCAAGAGCTGCAATGGCATTTGTTTTTTATTACTTGCTGCATTTGGTTTGGAGGGCTCCGCTTCGGAGCTCCCTTGGGCCAACACACACTGACATGACAGCAATGCGATGAAAATGGAAGTGCCGCAATAGCTGCCCGAAGTTATGGCTTCCCTTATCTACATTCTTCTAGTGGATTCTAGAAGCAGCCTGCACTGCATGGCTCAAAATGCCCCTATTCCCAAGGGAGCCCAAGGGGATATAGTGAGTCGCACCAACGCTCAGCTGCTGGTTTCGGCCACAGATGCGCCGCATGCCGGCCACGCTCACGCGCATCGGACCCCGAGGCCGTTTGCACGGATTCTTACAAAACAATATGTGTATGTATATACTATAAATGAAGGCATACAAACTAATAAATATAAATAATATGTGTAGAAAAATATGTGGGTCTGGCAGCAGGCCGCAACCAAAACAATTGGCCCTCGGCGCCGCGCAGAAGCGAAGCAGCAAAGGCTTTCAGGATGCGTTCGTGAGCGACGCGCTTGTGGCGAGCTTGTGCAGAACGTAAACGGCGAGTGGGATTGGTGTTGTGGCGACAAAATCCATATAAGCCAAGTAAAACTAAAGGCATGTAGGTAGGACAAATGTTGAACATGTTGAAGCAGCATGAGGAGGAGATCTCTTTGACCAGCGCTGGGCCAGAGACAGACAAAGAGAGACACACACGGAGACACAGACACACACACGCAGACAGACACACACACACACACACAGAGACACAGGACACAGGACACAAGACACACAGACACAAAGACACAGAGACACAGAGACACAAAGACACAGAGACACAAACACACAGAGACACAGAGACACTGACACAAAAGACGCACACAGACAGACACAGAGACACAGAGACAATTCACTGCGTTCACGCCCGAATAATATAAGAAATACCAATATTATTATAATGTAAAGGGCATTAATACTAAAACTACAATATTATACTCTTCATTTCCCTTATTATCATATTTTACGGGGTTTTGTAATAAAATAATAAAGAATAAAGAGATGAAGAAATAAGCAAATGAATAAAGTGAAGAGTAAAAAGATACCAAAAGAAAGAACAAAGATAAATAGGATTAAAACGTAGATTAAAAATATAATTGCATTTCAAATATTCTAAACTTTGTTCATTCTATTCACTGTAACTTCCCCCATAATAGTATTACACGGGCATACAATAATCCCAGAGACACACAGACACAAAGGCACACAGGCACACAACCACACAGGAGAGAGACACAGAGACACCGACACAGAGACAGACCCAGTGCACCTCCACTTTATTATAATTTTAAGCCGAGCAGCCTCCACACCCCAGACAGCACGTTTTGGCAACTTGGCCACTGGTAGGCTGATGGGGGCCACCTCACCCGAGCCACAACTGGGCATCAGGAAGATGCGGTAGGTGGTCCAGCAAAACCTGCATGCTTTTTTTTTGCCACACGCCTTTTTCCGCCGCCAGGAAGGTCTCGTGGGCCTAAGGCCGCAGCGGCGGAAGGCCGGGTCCAGCGCAGTCAGTCAGCGCCAAAACGGCCTCCAGAGCAGGCACCGCGCCAAAGCCGGCGGGCTGCAGTCCCGCCGCGGCTGGGCCCAAGGCAGTCTCGGCCACGGCCACTTGCACCGCGACGGACAACAACCCCCACCACCGACGCGCCCAGCCGCTCGCCGCGCTGCGGCGCACAGCAGCGGGGGCGCGGCAGCCCCACAACCGCGTCAAGGTCCGCAGGAAGTCGCGGGCCTGGTCGTTCCAGCGCCCTCCAACCTCATTGCCGAGGACTAGCAAGCGCTGGGGCCCGGGCCCGCACAGCTCGGGGTACGCGGTTTTCTTCCGGCGCTCGGCATGGCGCAGCAAGGCTCCGTCGGATGTGGCTGCGCGGGGGTGCGGTTCTCCCTCGCGCGTGAGGGGCGACACCATGGTGGCATCGCAGCAAAGGGCACCACCCCAGCTCGTGGCCCCGTAGACCACCAGGTCTAAGCGGCGCTGGTCCCCCGCCCGCACTCCCGGCGCGGTGGTCCTCGCCAGCAGCTGCTGCGGGGCGACCTGGCCCTCCGGGCCAACGGCCTCGCGAGCAACGCGGACCCATGCGCGCTCCACGATTTTAGCCCGGCGCGCCAAGAGGCCTGTGCGCGGGCACGCCAAAGCGTGGTCACCGAACGGGTCGATTCGACGGCCACAGCCGTGCGCCCCTGCGCCCCCGCACCGGTTTGGAGCGAGCGGCAGGGGCAGGCGGAGTCGGCGCCGCAGAGCGATTTGCATGGCCGGCGGCGAGAGTGTTAAGCCTGGCTCGGAGGGGACTGTGGAAAGCCAAACTGCCGACTGCTGGCCGGCTTGGGAGCGCAGCAGGGCTTGGCGGCTGGGGGTCAGGGAGGGCAGCAGCACGCAGTCGCGGTAGTAGAGGTTGCGAGTCTGCGACGCGAGCCGTTGCCAGCCATGAGGCCAGTCGCCAAGCCCGGCTTCGTTCTCGTCCGGCGCGTTTGGGCGGGCGCCACAAGCCAGTGCGGACCAGGAAGGGCAGTCGGTCCATCCCTCAGCTTGGAGTGAGAGTGGCTTTGGCGTCCGCGGCACTGCGCAGGCAGGGCGCGGTGCTGGCTTGGGGCTGCTCCAGGGCCGCCACGCAGGACTGCGCGGCTTCGGGGCAGCGGGCCTGGATGACGGGCAGGGCATCGGCCCACCCCGGCCCAGTACGCGGGCAGCGCTCCACATGTCGTGGCCTGCAAGCCGAGCCCGCCAAGCGCGGTGGGAAGGAATGCCAACGCTCGGGCATCGCGCTCGAGGTCCTCGGGCGCACCCCCCAAGCAGCGCATCAGCGTGTCCCACAACGCCGCGTCATGCGCGACTGCGTAGGCTGCGACGTGGTTGGGTGGCACGGTCCTGAGCGCGTGGTTGGCGCGCGGCGAGGCGCATTGGGCGAGCAGAAGCCAGGCGCACTTTTTTTCTTTTTTTTTTTTTTCCGCACACTTTTTGCGCCTGCGGGTGCGAGTCTCCGTCGGGGGGCTGGGCAGGGCGGCCTACTGTGGGCGGGCGGGCAGGCGGCTGGCCTGGGTGGGGAGGTCCCAGCGGCCGTCAGCCAAGAGCTCATGCAGCGGCGGCGCTGCCTGCTCCCCGTGCAGCTCGGCAGCGGGCGGGAGCTCGAGCAAGGAACTCGCGTAGGCGCGCTGGGACGCGACAGCGAGCAGTGCAGCCCACCGTGCGACCCAGGCGGCCTGCGCAGCCGGTCGGAGGTGTGCCGGCACGGCGGCGGCCCGCTGACGGGCGAGCAGGCGCAGCAGCGTCGCAGCCTCTGCGCCAAAGCGGCCGCCGACCTCGACGCCGACGACGACGAGGCGGCAGCGACGCGCCCGCGTGAGCTCAGGGTAGGTGTCGCGTCGCTTGCGTCTGGCGGCATTGTCAACGGCCCAGCCGGGCTGCGTGTCGGCGCGCGGGTGTGGGTCGCCGGAGCGGGTGACCGGCGAGACTATGGTGGCGTCGAGGGCGAGTTGGGCCCCATGCCACAGTGGGAGGCCGTTGGCGACGACCTCGATGCGCCGCCCGTCCGTGACCGGGACCTGGACATTCATGTCAGCGACCCGGACATTGCGGGCGACACGGGCTCCGGCCTCACGGCACACCCTCGCGACGGCCCACCGTCGTCTGGGGACCGGCAAATGGCGGCGAGCTGCGGGGGCTCTTCGCCAGCGGCGTTCCAGAGGCGTGTTTTGCCCGCGTTGAGCTGCACTCGTGCGTGGGCCCACATGGCCTCAGCAATCGCGTCATGCAATTGCTGCACGCGCTCAGGCAGCGCGACGATGTAGACGTCGTCCAAGAATGCAAAAATTGCCTCGCCATCCCGCAGAAGGCCCTGAACCCGGTGCAGCGCAGGCTGGATTGCCAAGGAGAACAAGGCGGGCATGAGGGGGTCGCCTTGTTCCCCGCCCTCCGCCTGCCTCACCTCGTGAGCCGTGCCTGAGCCGTCGTACCACGTATAGCTGCTGGGAGCTGCATAGAATTGCCGCGCGTAGGGCAGCAGTGGCTGCAGCTCCGGCTTGTCCAGCAGCGCCGTCAACATCGCCTGGCGCGCCACATGGTCGAAGGCGCCAACGGCGTCGACGGAGAGGGTTCCGATCATACTTGCGGCAGCAGCGAGATGGCTGGGGCAAGTAGCGCGGCAAGCCGTGCCGGAGGCTCTTCAGCTACCCGGTTCTTGCCGCCAGGCAACCCTTCACGCCGCTTTGACTTGCGTCGGTAATGCTCCGCAATACTATCCGCCGGGCTGGGCGCCTTGCTCCCATTGCTGGGGGTGGTTACCTGGTTATGCGTCGGGGTAATCTTGGGCGGACTCTGCATGGGTGCGTGTTGGGCACGCTGGGCGGCGCAACCATCGCCCCCTCCCGCGTGGACGGCAGCTGCGGAAGAGATCCTGCGCTGCGTCGCGGCCGGGGGGGAGCAGGAGCTGGCGATGCTCGCCGATGCAGCCGGGCAGTCCCCAGCAGGACTCAAGCAAGCAAGCTCAGGGAAAAACCTCGTGTGGGAAAAAACCCTGAGCTCCACCGACCTGCAAACTATACAGACCAGCGAGCCTGTGCGCACACCCCACTGCCAAGAGACAAGCGGAAAACCCAACAGACCACCCCGGCAGAGCTCTTGCGCCGCGTCCTCCACACCGCCACCTCGCCGCACACGCCCGGCCTGCCGACACCGCCTCCGCTCCGCGATGCGGCGACTCGCAGCCGCCGGCCGCGGAAACCATAAGCGCGAAGAAGCGGCGTACACGTTGCACCGATGGATTACCGATGGGAGGGGGGGGACACGGGTCCGGAGCGCCTCCCGCACACCGGCACAGAGCATCACAGAGCTGTGGAGGCATTGCGAGGCCTCCATCTGGTC